TCACCAACCCGTCCCAACCCAGCAAAGGCTACCTCCTCGGGCTACCTTGATCCGTCCTGTATTTTCTAGTTTCGTTTTCGAGTACAGTGCTTCTTTTTGGGGGAGGGTGGGGGGAGGGCGAATGTAAGTAGAGTGGAATGTGTCAGGTGGGGGTGGCCGGGATACGAGACACTGAAAGGTGTACGCACTGCACGCACATCCAAACAATTATGCAGCCTTTGACAGTAGAAAAAGCGTGGAGGGTCCGATATCCCTACCGCGAGGTGAGGCCCAGGCTGGGCCCGGCCGGCCCCGGGACCAGGACAGCGCAACGGGCATGACTCAGGGCTTTTCGCGGACCTTCCCCTCGCACCCACCCCCTCACCCCGTGCCCTCTCCCTTCCACCCGTCTGTCCCTTCTCTCCTCCGCCCTTCACCCCCCACCCTCCATACCCTCTCTGGACAACTGTGGACCCAAACGGAATGCCGGACGGACATCGGCCAGTTGGCCATAGTCTTGCCTGGACAGACATCCCACAAAGTACGGTATATTCTGTACTACTTGTGAGATGCCCTGCCGTTCCTTGCACGGCTGGCGGCTCTACGATGTCGGTGAGCCCCGTGCGGGCAGGGCAGGGGGCAGGGGCGCTGCCGCTGAGCCTACATGAACGCGGCGACACGGTTTCAAATGCCGTCGCTAGGTTCGGGGAAGTCCCAGGCGATGCAGATGCCATCCCATCAGGTCAACGTCCCGGTATATTTCTCATATCTGCGACGAATGGTTGGTGCGCATGCGTGCGATGTTGTTGTTGTTGCTGCCCCACACGGTTTTCGATGTTGTTGGCCTGCTTGTGCTTGTCGCGGACGTGAGGTGCTGGGTGCTGTGACTCACAGCGCCGATTCGCAAATGAGTAATCTGCTCGCGTCCGCTGGGTCGTACGGCAAGCGGGTGCTGAGCACGGCCCGCGAGGGTTTCGCACACTTGCGAGGGGGACTGGTTCGCCCCGCTCCGCCAGCAGACGACGAAGCAGTCGACGGGAACGCCGCGGAGGTTAAGGACCACCTCAGCGAGAAGAGCATATCGTCCCTGCTCCTTCGAATCTCTCTCGTTGCCCTTCTTCTGAAGGCTCTACATAGTTTTGTCGATCGTAAGTAGTATTTCGTGTAACTGTTTCACTAGCGCATGCGAGTTTTACGAGTGCACTATACAGTAACGCGATTGATACCGGTCCAGTGTCCCAAGATTGGAGAAGCCCCGCTCGGCTCGCGACGTCTCTTCGAAGTTCATTTACGCACAAATAATGGTTTGGTGATAAATTTGATGATATGTTTATCTTCTTTTTTCAAGAATGATGTATGCTAACTTATATTTTATCAGTGACATGTACTCACACTGCAATTTGTTAATTGCATAACTCAGAGCAAGAACCAGCTGTTTCAACTTGGTTTCACCAAGTTAAATAATAATGTTTGTTGTTGATATTAGACATTTTAGTTTTGGCGTACACTTTTATGCTTTAATCATATTTGCATGAAAACTTTTTTTTCTGATAATTCATTCCAATGAGGGTACAGCATTGCACAACTCTTTACCCACTACAATTTTTTAAATTTTGTATGTGATATTTAAACTATTAAAGAAAACAAAGGATGGCAAACATTGCGAGATATAATGCATAAAATTTGTGGGGGGAAGTGTTTGTTTTGTTTTTTTTATTTTAAGAACGCTAAGGTGGAAAGGTATGTTCCAAATGTTTTGTAACAAATTTCTCTAACAATGTCAATTTGACATTTGGCTTTTGTTTGTATTGTTTTCTTTTGAAATGTTCATGCTCAGTCTCTCTTATCTGTTTTTTTTTTTTCTTTTTCAGGAAAATGGCTATTGGCTGCATCTTCAGGGATAAACTCCCTTTACACTGCTCCACTTACGATATGGAGCGTCTCCGACAGTTTGACGGCAATGGTATTGCCCCTACTCTGTGGTGTAGCCATGTTGGTCATTACATGGTACACTGTTTTCCTTGACAGTTGTATACCTGGAGCTTATCCTACACCTGCAGAACCAGTGAAGAAAAAACTGTGAGTAGGCAGGTGGTAGGCATTCTTCCTCACCCCCACCACAAAATACTGTTCTTTATTTGTCGTGTGAATGAAAATTTCATCTCTCTTTCCAGATTCTCATGGCCAACACCTTTCCATCTAGGCCACACTATTGGACTAGTTAATGGGGTCATCCTTTCCTTGCTGATTTATTTTGAGTACCACTGACATCTTTCTCATCTTTACCACTTTAGTAGTATTTTATTAGTAACATCAAATTATGTGTGCTTCTCTGCTATCAAATTGAATTAATTTATTTTAAGAAAAGATGTTTGGACCAAATGTTTGGATTTAACTCGCTAAGTAGTCTCATTATTCAGCCTAAAGTTTGTATACCTTAAAATCTACTGTATTTGAAAGCTGTTTTTGTTTATATCATAAAATATAGGCAACCAAATTTAATCTAAAATTATTTTAAGTTGTAAATCAATTACATTCAATAGTTGTTGTTAAGGTTAAGACTGTGAAAGCATGATGAAAGCAACATTAAGTCATGTTGAACATATGCTTCTATCAGAATGAGGTTCAGTAAGGCATACTTGAATTTTCTCATGTTCTAGGCATTTTTTGTGGGCGTTTGTGTGATTTATGTGATTCTGAAAATATGTAACTTTGTTTTTACATTACTAAACTGAAAAAGGAGAACAATAAAGAGAAGGAATGCTTTCTTGTATGAATATTCCTTTGACTTTTTATTTTTGGACTAAAATTTTTAAAAACCTACCCTTCTAACTCTACAAATCTACGAAAATATTTTTCTATCTACCCCAAAAATTATTAACTTTCTTCTTTTACAGTTAAGTAACTCAAACATGGAGAAAAAGGGTTGCTGCATTTTTGCACGTGAGGAGTATGAGGAGTTATCAAATGGACTTCAGTTAGCCCAGTGTATGTTGAGGGGAAGAACACCTGCCTTGGATCCTGATACAATGTGTGAGTAAAATGTCCAGTGGCCGGCGAATCCTGCCATTTCTCGGCGAAAGTCCAGATTCACCGAGTTCCTCCGGCGAATGTGGTACCACTCTGGGAGTATGGTACTACAATATCTTATCTGCACTGTTGCCTGCGAATGTTAGGCTAAAACCACATTCGCTGGAGGATCCCGGTGAATCCGCACTTACTTTTGCCATTACATCTCTATCCAACTCAACAAAGATTTTTGTTCTGTTTTGAAAATATTTCCCACTTATTTCCCAAATTAAATTTCAGCCCCTGAGGTAACTAAACAGCTGGAAGATCTGGTAGTGGCAGATGCTCATTCTTGCTCTTGCTGTTCAGTCAAGTTCCCCAATCCCACAGCTCAACGTGCTCATTTTAAATTAGATTGGCATAGATACAATATAAAAAGACAACTAGCAGGACTGTCATCTGTCCCCGAAGAAGCCTTTACAGCTTTAGCAGACAGAGGAGGTATATTGGTACTTGGTGGTGAATTTGCTCGGCAAAATCTCCAGCTAATTAAATCTAAATCTAAGAAATATCTGTTCACAGATGATATTGAAAGTATTTCGGGATCTGAGTCAGAGTCGGAAACAGAAGGAGATAAAAATGACAACTCTGAACTAGTGCCATCTCGTCACGCCAAAGTCTTCTTTAGAAACAATAAAGATCAAGTTGTGTCTCTATATTATTGTTTGCTCTCTTCCAGCAAGGTATGTCTCTTTTAATGTGACACATGTTTATAACAGGATACTCTGCTTTTTGGGTTAATACTCTGGTTTACTTTCAGGAACGTCCTGAACCAGATACTTTGGTAAATGAAGCTTTGAATTTACGCTGTCAAAATAAATGGGCCATAATAATGCTTGGGGGAGGCCATTTTGCAGCTGCAATCTTTGAAGGTGTGTTCATTTTCTAGCAGCCAGTCTCCTCCTTCTAAAATATGAATTTTCCTAACATTTTCAAAACATTATTTTTTTAAAATTAACTCTTTATAGGTCAGGAGGCAATTGTTCACAAAACCTTTCACTGTTACACTGTGCGAGCTAAGCAAGGTGGATCTCAAAGTACGAGAGATAGCAGAGGTGGCAATCATCCTAAAAGTGCTGGAGCTAGTCTACGAAGATATAATGAGCAGCAATTGGTTCAGGTTTGTATTGATGAAGCTACATGTTGTCTTTCATTTGGACCTCTACATTTGGTGCAGATCTTCACCCTACCTATTAACTTTTTATTTTAGCATGTTCAAGAGCTCATCTCTACATGGGGAGATCATTTTAATTCCTGTAATCTAATATTTTATCGAGCAGTAGGGCCTAACAATAGGTCTGTTCTCTTTGGAGGTAAAAATCCACCTCTTGATAAAACAGATTCAAGGCTACGGACTATACCATTTCCTACTCGCCGAGCTACTTACAATGAAGTCCAGAGAGTTCATGGAATCCTATCTTTTATAGAAGTGCATGGTTGGTACATGTGTAGTAAATAAGTGGTTAATAGGAAATTTGTGAAAATCTTCTCAGTAAATGAGCGTAAGACTTATGATATACATTTTTTATTCAAGGTCTTGAAACAGAATTCCAGGCGAATTATCCACCTTCACCCGAGAGAAAATATGTAGCAGCTAAAGAGGAAAAAGGGAGTGGAAAATATTCTGAGGAAGTTGAAGAGGTTCCACGCAGTAGAAGTAAAGTTAAAGGGGGTATTAAGCCAAACCGTGCCAAATCACGGCCATCCCCACAAAGGCCTCTACCTGCCAATCTTTCTCGGCCTACTTCTGAGTCTGAAAAAGCAAGTGAAGATGAAAATGCCATTGGAGGTGGAGGAAGCGATGGGAGCCTTACTTGCCAGGAAGTAGAAATTAGTTTCAAAGATAATGTAGAAAATTTTGATCTTATGATTAAAAATGAAACAAAGAAAAAGAAAGAGAAGGTAAAACAAAGAAAACTCTCTGCAGCCTCTTATGTGCTGCTAGACAATAGATCAAAGGAGGATGTTGAGAGAGAAGAGCTAGCTAAAGCTAAGGATGCTGAGAAGAAACAGAAAATAGCAGAAAAGAAGGCAAGGAAAAAAGCAGTTGCAGAATTGAAGAAGAAACAGGAGGATGAAGGTAAGATCTACTGATAAACCTGAAACAGGGAAGGTGTGCTTCTACGCTTTGTCATAAGAATGAAAATCACCTGGAAAAGTTTTTTCTATTCATCAAATAATGAACTGTTGCAGAGGCTTTTTCACCACTTACCATTTTTCAAAAAGAACTCCTGGGTGCTATACAGTCTGGTGATGTGAGTCGCCTTCAAACTTGCCTGTCGCCTGCCTTCATTCAAAGTTTACCATCTGAGTTGCCTGGAGGGTTGGATAGGATTCTTAATCTCCCTATAGCAGAAGGGAACAACACTGCTTTACATGTTGCTTCAAGGTCAGGAGCAACATCAATGATAAGGTATATTGTACATCTAATTTTATTTGAATTACATTTGTTATATTATCAGTTATCTTGACTTCCATTTGCTTCTTCAGTGAACTCATGGCCTGTGGTGCTGATCCCTCTACATGGAATAAGAAATGTCAGACACCATTTGGTGTGTCAGCAACAAAAGATATAAGGAAAGCTTTTCAAAATTTCCGAATTGAACATCCTGATAAGTTTGACTACTCTAAAGTAAGTAATTTTGTTTGGAAAAACTAAATTTTCTGAAGACAGTTTCCTTATGTTTATATCTTTTTTGTTTCAGTCTTTAATACCATTACCTCTGACAGAGGAGGAGGAGAGGGAAATAGCAGAGAGAAAAGCAGCTCAAAAAAAAGCAAAGAAAGATAGAGAGAAAGCTAAGTTAAAAGCAAAGGCAGAAGAAAAGTTGGAAAGAGAAGAGAAAGAACGCTTCATGGCCATGAGTGACAGAGACAAGGTAACAAATTAATATGATCATCATGCTTATTAAATATATAGATATATATAATATGTAGCACACCAAAACTATTCTATTTTCAGAGGGCATTGGCTGCTGAGAGAAGGATTTTAGCTGCACAGAGAAGAGGCACTGTGGATGAAGGCAAAAAATTAGTTCTTTTACGATGTTTTGTATGTGGCAGTGACATATCCGGTCAGGCAACATTTGAATATAACCACAACAAATTCTGCTCTGTGGAATGTCTAAGAGTCCACCGTATGCAAGAAAATTCTGACCTTAAACGAATTTGAACATAACAGTCCAGTAACATATTTCTTCAGTTATTGGTCAACCTGCTTAATTTATGAGTGTGGGGTGTAAATAAATTTCTGATATGGGAAAGTTATGTTTATTATACTTAAATTAGAATTTCTCCCCCATCGAAACATAAAAAAGTTGTAAGAGAAATTTCAGTCCATTCTGGTCTTTATCCTGCGGGTGGTGACCTTGTCTTTCTCACTGAAAAAGAAAGAGAGTTTAAGAACAAATATTTCTCAGTTGTCACCACCTTCATCCTTAAATCACATGATGGAAAAATAAACATTGCAACACTTACATGATATGAACAATAGCACCCATACCAGAGACAGCATCACGATCAAATGCATTCATCATGGCCTGTGAGATGCATTCAAAAAGCTCATCCGCATTTAAATCAGGCTGCCAAAGAGCTTCACTCATACCATACATCTGTTCACCACAGGTACCGGCAAGGGCAAACTCATCGGTAGCAGTAACACATCCTATAAGATCCATACTAGCCAAGTACGGCTGTTGTTTCTTGGTGTCAAAACCAGCAATTACAGGCTCAACAAAGTAAGGTCCAAATCTGGAAAGGAGAATTGCAGGTAAGTATAATTAACATCAAAGTGATTCCAAAATAAAATACTAGAAAAATTTGAATATACCTCCTTTCATACAGCATGTTTGCAATCATTGAAGTCAGAACAGCTGGCTGCATCCGTCTTCCTTCTTTCAGCTCATATAAATTAACACGCAATTTCAGTCGCTGAAGTACAGATTCTGTGTCTGTAGCCAAGCCAGGAAGACCAACATATAGTTGAGGTCCAATCTCAAATACTTTCTAAAAGGACAAGCGTATAACATATCACATTACAATTATGTAAAAATAGACAGAAAAAAAACAAGTCTGAGCCATTCTTACCTCATAGTTGGTAGCAACCGTCATTCCTTGAACACCAAACCGCAAGTCTGACGCAATTGCAACACAGTCCTTTCCCATCATAGAAAGGACGCAACCACCATTATATTCCATAATAGACTGAAAAATAAGAAGACCAAGTTAATCGAAAAAATTTAATAGACTCGATAAACACAGTAACGGAACACATAACGTTGCATGGAATGGAAAACTGGATATTCATCATCTACTATAACCTCTAAGTAGAAACACACTTTCTCAAGTAGGTAATAAGCAAAAACAAGTTGGGAGTCACAAATACTAGAGAGAAAATGCAAGGCTTTCTCATGATAAATGTCGCGCTGAAACTTGATAGATTCACACAAATGCAGAAAATAGAAGTTAATGTCGTGATGACAAGTCAGGCATTTCTAGTTGGGAGGGTAAAGATGTTTGCACAGATACTCACCATGGTTGTAGTTTGTAAGGGTCTCCAAGGACACTGTTTAAACAAATTCAAAAAAATTCCTAAGAAATCCCAAGAGCAGCAATTAAAATTGAAATCAAACACACCGAACCGAAGTGCGAACCGGTGACTTGCGATTCAACACAACAGCAGCGGACGGAGATAGTTAAGAAATCATCCACTAGGTTGCGCTGGATGACGTTTTCGCAGGAAGACAAACCACGGAATAGTTGATATTTCTGTTATAGGGCCACATAAATTCCCGGTGAAGAAGAAAACTTTCTCCAAACAGAAATTAAAAAAAGTCATAATTTAGCATTTGAAAGAAAATTATTTTCATTTCAAGCTATAATTCTATTAAAAATTGGCATTTGTCTGTATGCATTGAGTATCGCCATGTTGGTGATTCTGTTCATTGCGGTGGATCGTTGACAGCCAAATAAACAAACTGGAAATTTTATGTTTGACTAGATTGTTAAAAATTGTCGTTACTCGTATTGATGGCGGAGACAACGGTTTATATTTCAGTCACCTAGTGATGCTATTCTATTTACTGTAACTGGTGTAACTGTGTCTTTTTTGTGAAAGAACTTCAATTAACATGTCTTGTAGGTTAAAGGGACTGTTACTTGTCTTTCACTGTCTGTGTAAAATGTATTATTGTATTCATTAATAGACCATTCCGCCGGTTCTGCACCTCTCTTCGATCATTTCACTGCTATGGTAATACTTGTGTTTTCCACTTTGTGAGTGTCATGTTTGAGTTAAACCATTGCCTACCCAAACAACCCTTGCCCACTTATCAACTGATTGTCAATCAATGTCAGCAAGTGCTATTCACTGCCAATTAAAGTAGCCCTGAGTGGTACGTACCGACGTCATACCTTCCCATAATTTATTAAAATGATATTAGAAGGAATGTTGTCTCAGCACAATTTTAAACGAGCTTTTTTCCCAATAAAATAATTACCATCATTGTTTGTATAAATGTTAATACTTCTCAGAAAATATCTCAAGCTGTCCGTAAAGGAGCCTCGTATTCACATAGATTTGTCATTCAATGAACGTTGATTATTTGTTACTTGTTACAGCTTCGATAACTCTACTGACTGTCTATTGCTTTGCAGGAGCTGCTCTGATCACTGAGGTGACCCGTTGGTTCTAAACATGCGCAACCCAGATATGCTAGGTGAGAAAAGCAGCATGTTTTGTCACTCACTTTTTACATTGGGATTAGGGAAAGCTTGTTTACCTACACCGTGTCTAAGTTCCT